TAGCATGAGATATCAACCTAGGTCTGTGAAGGGTTCGGCTGCTGGCGCTGCTCCTCCCGCGACTGGGAAAACGAAACCCAAGACCAAGGCGAAGGCTAAGGCTAGAGGCAAATCTACCGAGAGTTTGGAGACACCAGCCCGAAGGGTCTCGAGCAAGAGCAAGGGTGCCGTGAAGAAGCCCTAGCTGAATTTTGTTCGATGCTAGCATCGTTGCCGGCTTTTAGGGTGTGTAGGGTCTGTGGTACATGGCCACAGTCCGATTTGCGACGTGTGTGAAGCGGCTCACTGTGAGCTGCAATGCCGAGGCTGAAAATTTTCTCGTCGCAATGAACTGCATGCCTGCTGTTGATCAAACTGCATGTTGCTTTGTTGTTCCCCACGCAGGTCCTTCTCTAGAGTGGGCCTATGGTGCCTTGACCGATATCTATGCATGTGGCTCCCAACCCTTAAACCCGAGACACGATAACATTCAAGGAAGTCCTAACCCCGCGCTCAGGTGTGCCTCCAACTGATGATTCTGACGATTCCGATGTGGTCGAAGAACTCCTCCGAGGACTCAGCAGTGGTGCTTCTCGGTTGATCCAACCATGTGTTTAGGTTTATAGACCTCCTTGGTGGGCTTGTAGGGGAAAGAGGAGTTGCTTAGATCTAAGTTAAAATTAATAGTTGAACCCGTGCTGCCTACAGGCTGACTCCTGTGCTAGAGTTGCTCGGTTGGCGAAGAAGACATCGAGCAAACTTCGTCACAAAGGCAGGGCATGGCTTAAAGACTTGTATAGTTGTGGTCTGTATAGGGTTTTAGGTACTCTTTATTTTATATGGAAGACCATTTGTATACAAATGGTCTTCCATATAAAATAAAGAAATAAAAAAAGAATATATATAGATAGATAGATAGATAGATAGATAGTATGTGTGTGTGTGTTTTAGATACGGGTTCGCATCAGGGTCCTATCAGGTATTCGGGATCCAGTTCTGCAGCGACTCGGGCGATGTGGCCAGGGCATGTACAACAATGGAAATGCTTGCAAAAAGATACACAACATGCTGGCTGATGAACAGTTTACACTGCCAATTGAAGTTTCCTACGCAACTGTGCCAGTTTGTCATCTGAAGAAGAAACTTGATGTACCAATGCAGTGGCCAGTGCTAAAATTATCTTCTTGGGCTAAGTACGAGCTGGAGAAAGGCGGGGAAATGTTCCTTGCTGGGCACAACATATTGGATGAGGCTGCTTGGAAGTCGGAGCTCAAAGCCTTTTGGGATAGATATGAACGAGTCGACGGAAGCCACCCCATCTTTGAGCTGGACCCTACGGCTCGCTCAACGACAATACCCTATCTCCTCCACGGCGATGAGGGCCGGGGCCGAGGGAAAGTTCCAATCCTGACAATGTCGTATCAATGTTTGTTGTCACACTATGGCAGCCACAGGCTCAACATGTCAGGGAGTTTTGGCTGCAACATAGTCATTTGGAGACCTTGACTCGTAGCTAGGCCGGGTAGCTCTTGTATGCTCTTGCTGTATAAGCTCTGGACTCAAGGCACTCCTTCTGCAGTCGACTTCTCTATACTGTGTTCCCAGCACAGTGCTATGCCAAGAATGATGCCAGCATCTTTTCCTTATTGGAATTCCTATCGGATGACTGCCTCACACTTTTTCTTGATGGTGTTGAAGCCCCTCAACTGCAAGAAGATATGTTAGTAGCGGCTGAGCACAATGCAAAGCGCAAGGCACTTGCCTGATCACTTTAAGGTCTCTCATGAGGGACGGTCATTCCACTTTCGTTTCGGGTATCTGGGATGCAAAGGAGACTGGGTATGGTTACGGAAGGCATTTGCTTTGTACCCTGGCTGGAGCTCGAAACGAAAGTGTCACCTGTGCACCTGCGAGGCTGGTCTTTTGGTAGTACTGAGCCTATATAGAGACCCTAAACCATATATAAGCAGATGAAATCGCCGCCTCGATGCAGACCTGATACTGTTCATGCTTTGTCGCTTTTATAGTGTGAGTCGAGTTTGGGGTAATTATATCGAAGGTCTATCGCTTAAGAGTAATTGGGGGTAATTGGGGATCACGTGTATAGGATGGCTTCCTTCCCCTCCGGTGTTGGCAAGGGCTTCGACACAATTCTACTGCTACAGTGGCTAGCCAGCTTCTTACCAGGACTTCAGCGGCTTGAGTCTTGAAGATTCTAGAACGGTTTTGGGGACCATGTGAACCGAAAATTATGAACCAGTGAGCTTTGTCTTGTCAATTTTGTTAAAGCCTAAGCGTAAACCCCATGTTCACTTTCCAGCTTTAGGATGGGCCGAACCAGAAGATCCAAGAAGTGCTCGAATGGATGATACTGAGCACAAGTGCTTTCTACAAGCCGCTGCATCAGTATGGAGTTTGGGTGCCGGCTTCTGCTGCGGACACCATTGTGGCACACGGGCTCAACATGTGTGCTTCTTGTCGAGATACAACAACCCGGAAGCCCAGCAAAGACTCCGAACCCTGAGATAGCTCGAAAGCATTAAGGAAGGGTACGGCGCTTTGGCGGCGCTGTGCTCCAGCCGTGGCTGGGCACTCTACAAGATCAAACCCAAGCTGCACATGCAGAGCCACATATTGAACCCCGACTTGCTACTGGCTATGGTGCTTTGCAAGTTTACAAGCTAGCATGTTGATGGTACCGTAAGGAGAGAAATGCAGAGTCAGCTTAAGACCCACCACATCTTCAATCCTCTCAGTGGCTTGGTGACAAAGCTTTAAAGCGTGCATGCTATAGCTTGTACTTGATCCGCTCAACCTTGTCTTGACTGAGACTGTTCCTGCTTCAGCGACGAGGATTTCATTGGCAGGATGGCGAGGATTTCCCGGCGTCAGAAAGTTGACAAAGTTGCCATACGGTGTATCAGAATAGCATTGCTACTGTACAAACAGACATGGGCGAGAGAGGTTCCTCGCTAGCGATGTCACCCTGAACTTCCGAAGTGGCTGCGACTGCACAAAAAGTCTCAGGTCGCTGCCCAGCGTGCCGCAGCCAGCATTGCGAGCGCACGTAGAAGATGTCAGGGGAGATGATATGTACATATGTGTGTATGTATATTGATGTACTTCCCCTTCCTCGCATATCAGCAGTATATACCAGCTGATCTAGACCTTCGAGACGGTCCTGCGGACCACGCACACAAATCCCAAGCCCGCACATTAATTTTCATTAGTTCCTGTCACGCACACATTTTTTAAGGCATGGAAATTTCCATGTCGAAGTAGCTTTCAGGAAGATTCTACAATGGACTAGTTTAGTTACCCCCGTTCCCTATTTTGTAAGCGTTGGGGTAATGTAGGAGCCTGATTAAGAAACCCTGGGCCTATAACCCCCAAACAGTAGGATTCATATAAGGAACCCTAATTTTTTCCCTCCTACCTTGCAAGGACGAAGCCCGCATTGCAGGGTGTCTCGGTTGAACAGTTGACTACAGCCACGTGCTTCGGTATTCAACCCTAATAAAGGCCCAGGGTTTCTTAATCAGGTTCCTACATTATCAAGAAAGGCCCCGGGAAAAGCGAGGACCCCAATGTAGCCTTCATACCACAGGCGCTTTGGTGGTTGCTGGTGGAAGTTCAGGGGCTACTCAGAGTTTGGAGATCTATTACTGAGTTGTCTTTTAAGCCCTGTGAAAATTGTTTCCTATTATGGTTCTTTACAAAATGGTAGGGGAAATCAAAAAAAGATCCCAAAGGACAACCCAGATTAACTATACCAGGATGGTTAGGCTTTAAACATTGCAATTCCTGTCTCTGCCAGGTTGATAAACATCAACATCGAAGCATTAGTGTTACATTCTCGTTCATAACCGCGCAGAACGCTTGCAAACTTGCCCCAGGAGCAAAGCGAATTGCAGACCATAAATATGCCTCTGGCCAAGCGCTGGTTCCAGTTAACCTCGCTGGTAAGGGGTTTGCCTGCCATCATGCCGGCCAGTGAAAATGCTGTACCTCCACCTATGAAGACACCACTGGCCGTGGCTGACTGGCCCATAGCCAGCGAAAAATCCAGAGACACAGGAACCAGCAGAGCCACGTTCATGAGCATGATAACCCAGGAAAGAACAATCACAACTTGAAGGGGCACATTGTTGCTTCGCTCATGGTTTGCAAACAGCGGCCTGGCACCTGCCGCCACATGGGCCTCATGTGCTGCGAGGAGAACACAGAAGAGGATGATGCCCAGGAACACGTTCTTTCCAATGGGGATGACGAGATTGGAGAAATATGCGTCCACAGCATCTGCCCACATTGTGAGATCCGGCTCGGTGCTATGTTACTCAGTTGCTGCTTTCATAAGCCCCAAAAGGAAAGTGCACGCTTTTAGTTTTAGAGTGGGTATTACCATCCCAAAAAAGTGTAAAGTGTATCCACTCAGCTACTAAGGTTACACGTTTGGCAATCATGCCTCTCAGCTCTGACTGGCCGAGCGAAAACTCAAAGTCAACAATCTGCATCCTGACTACCTCCCTTTCCCGCATCGACATCGTGCTGAAAAACAGTCTGGATTTCAAAATCCGGCTCCTAGTCCAAGCAACGTGGATTGAAACTAATTAGCACAGGAGAAAAAGCTAGAGCCATCACGCTTCGGCCGTGCAAGACTTCAGGGCTTAGCAGGCTCAAGATCCATATAACTGGATATGGGCTTCCGGGGAGTATGTCGGGTTGGGCAATGACACCAAGAAGTGCATGGTCGGATTCAGGATACAGGAACCATGCAGACTCAACATGCACACGGTAAGATCAATCCACAAGCCGTGTTTTGCAGCAGTGAACCCTGACGTTCCCAAGGGCTTGCGCCAATCCGCAAAACTCAAACAATCAGGCTTGTGAAGCAAACCTGAAGGTTCTACACTCTACACCCACAATCAGGAACGCCACAGATTCGCTAAAAGGTTGTAAGGGCGGGTTAACTTTCATTCCCTATGAACTCTCCGGTGTCGCTCTTGGCTTTTTGGCCACTCCTTCGGCACGAACAGGCTCCAGCTGACAGGCCTTTCCCAGGGGCACGGACTCAAAAACGAAAAGCTCGAAGGTTCGCTGTTTCTGACGTGTGGAAGGGCTCAGAGTCCGAATGTTTACACGGTATCCTGATTTGTCTGGTGCTTAGTAGGGAATAGGAGAATGATCCCTATACTAGTCCCTTTATAGTCCCCAATAATAGTCCCCATATTCCATTCCCCCTTTCCCTACTAAGAGCCAGACAGTTGTTGTGGGGAAGCGAAGCGATTTACTGAACACCTTTGGTGCAATACCCTTCAGGCGATTTGCATCATGCTGTCATTTTCCATTCCATGTCCATTACACAACACTACCGGTTCCACTCGGGCATAATTTGGGATGTGGAACTCTGACTTGCGATCATCGACGCTACTGTTGGTGTCTATACCTCCGCAGAAAAGCTTTTGTCCTCACCTTGTGCTACACTGCGCTTCGCTTCGACCAGTCTCCCGAGTTCAGATTTTTGGCTTTTCCACTGCTCCCCTCTTCAAGGAAGCTACTTGTCTCTCTTGGTCTCTCCGTCTGCGTCTGCCTGCTGCTTGCATCTCCGTCATCAACGCTGAACTCGCGACCTGAATCCTTACTGCGACCTCTTAAATTCCAAACCCGAACAGCTAAGAGCCGCCCCCGCCCCCCCCCCCCCCAACGGACCCCAGAAGTGCCCTTAAGCGCTATAGCCTACAGACCTTGAAGCCCCGAAACCTTGACAGGCTAAGACCTCGAACTTGCGAATGGCTCGACTGCAGAACCCCAAGCTAGACCCCAATCGCTATGCCGCAAATCCCACACCGAAAGCCCCCACGTCCTATATATGGTGTGTATATATATATACATATTATACATACATATACATATATACATATATATATATAGATACATAGATAGATAGACAGATAGATGCCAAATCCCCAGACCTAAGTGCAGGGCCTGTGCAAGCGACCTGCCAGATACCACGCGAGCAATTATCAGCAGCAAAAGGAAATGCGATGGCTTTTGGGCCTCAAAGGACGGGAACTTTTTCAAAAACAGGCCCTTAGATGGAAAATGATTGAACTATCTGGCGACTTAGAGTCGACATTTGGGTTTCCGATGTCAATCCTAAACCGTCGCCTGTGGCAGGAACGCCCAAGACCCCTGGTACAATTCAAGGGCAAAAGTTACAAGGCTGCATTCGTGCAAAGGTCATGAGCTGCCTTACCTTGAGAATAGACCTTAAGATACAACTAAACCCTCAATACCACACAGTGTAGAATGGTTAACGAAACATACGAAAACATACCAGAATGAACTAAGAGTATATCAACAGATTACGGAAGCATACTAGAACATATCAGAATATACTCTAGGAGTATATGACATAATAACTCAATAAGCGACTCCATGAAGTTTAAGTTATATCTTTTCTTGAAGGCCTCTCTGGGTTCTAGCGGCGCCTAGGCCCGACACACGTCAGTGCTGGCGTTTTAAGCCCCAGCAGAAACCCAGACCGCGCCACAAGCCTTCTCGTGAACTATCCGAGAACACCCGCAGCATGGGGATCGGGTTTACATACCCGAGAAGGAGATCAGCGATCTTGGTGTCGGAGGGCAGGTGAGGCCACTGACAATGCTACATACGAGGTTCCTGCCGTCCACCCCTTGGCCCCGACTTCTCGCAAGAATTCTGAAGGCACCTCGCTGCACGTCGTCCCAAGCGGCATCCGAAACTTCTGTGCCGATCATGGCAAGCAAATTGGCATCTTGGCCTCAGCTGTTGACAAACGAACTACAGTCAAGGTAAGGACACCGTTCTGAACCCTAAATGGGGCCAAATTCTTTTTCTGTGAATTTGGGCAGTCACTAGCACCACTCACTAGCGTGCCATAAGATCCGCCCAAAGCCGTACTTTCAAGTATCAGCCTTGTCACCACGACAACCACCAGGGTGGGCGATGCGATGCGATGGAAACATCACCGCAATTCTCATGTTGATCGGTTTGCCAAGCACTTGACAAAGGGGGACAATGCACTCTAGGTTTCACCCAGATGTTCCCATCAATGGAGGGCAACCACAGATTGAAGCTAACGCAAGGTGAAAGCATCGGAAACTACAGAACTTCGGTTTGTGGATTGTGAGACTGGGAGACTCCGAACATCCCTTAAAGTTGAACCTTAAACCGCAAAACCCCAAAGTCTTAGACCTTGCACCAGCAACGGAGAGATAAGATCGGCACAGTCATCCGGCAGAGTGTCGAAACCGTCGAAAACCGGGACATCCTCCAAGCCGACACAAATCTCAGAAATCGGGCTCTTGTTGAGGAGCTTAATGCATGGGAGTTTCCGAAAATTAAGGGTACCTTCTTTGGGGGTCCTTATAATTTTTGTAAGGATCCTACCATTTAGGGTGCTATATATTCGGTCCCTCGATTTTCGGAAACCCCCACATTTTATCGGAGGTAGGAGAGCATGCTTGTGCATCCTCGCCCAATCAGTTATCATGGTAACTGAAGCTAAGGAATGAATAGAGCATAGATCCCCACCCTGTATCCCAGATATGGTAGGTGCAACTTACTACTACACTCTTCAACAAGAACGTGCGGAGTTGGAGGCTCGCAATGGAAAGACTTGGGTTGGCTTGCCTGGGGATTGGCTTTGAGTGCAAGAGGTGCCCCGGCGTGTTGTGGCCATGACGAACCTTCACGCTTTTAATGTTTCAGGTTGGTATCGATGGGAGCTGCATGATGCAAAGCCAGGACAGCTAAGTCATCCGACCAACCCGTCGGAAGCCACAGTCTGCGGTTGTGTCCCCCCTTGCTTTGAGTCTGCAAGTGCCTGTCCTCCTGGCTGTTGGCATATCTCGTCAGCCACACCTGGCCAGGGAAACATAGCGACAACTGCAATGTCACTGGCACGATCGATCGCTTCTTGAATATACAGATAGGGAAAACCAGGGAGATGTCGGCTGCCTCCGTACAGCCTTACAGATGTGGCTTCAGACAGGGATCCGGATGCTTCCTGTTTCCTACGGCCTTCTTGATGCAGCAAAGGACCTATACCGTGTGAAACATCGCGAAGAAAGGAGCCAAAATGGTCTGAGCTTGCTACAAGCCAGGCATCTTGAACACTCAAACGTCTGAACCTCAAGATTTGTAAGTCCTAACTCATTGGACACTGCGCACCGAAACCCTGATGTCAAATTAGCTACATGGCCACACATTCCAACCTAGAGCACTTAACACCAACGTGGCCGGCCCCAACCGAACAAACTTGCGTTTGTTCAGTGGGTGCCGAGGATTGAAATTACGAGCTCTCGATTCGAGTTTGAAACTGACAATTGGGTCTTCAGTCTCGGATATCGGATGGCTGTTGACGGATGAGAACAGCTTGTGCTTCTTGTCGGCTTAACAAGTTTTGAACTTTGCGCTTCATTTTGGCTCCAAGTGAGAGTATCCGGGTTCAGAGTCGAGCATAAATGCCCAGCCACCAAAACCTGGAACCTCAAAACTCCAAGCCATGCCAGCCGATACCGAGCCTGAAAAGCCCAAGGCCATGAGTTCACAAAGCAGAATACATTAATCTCCGCTACCCCGAACCCGAAAACCCTCTTAGATCTTAAGATAAAAGATCCATATAGACCCTAACCCCGAGACCCCCTATGTTTTTTTTTGTAAAGTCTGTTAAGAATGGCACAAAATTTAAAATTTTGCCTGAGGTGCGGGCCTTTAGGGACTTCGCCTCTGCCGCTGCAGTCAGAGCTCTTAGGGCCGCCTGCGATCGCAAGCTCAGGCCTGTCATCGGAGTGTCTGCTAAGTATGACTTACCGTTGGTTAGCAGGGAATGGAAGAATGGTAGTAATAGTAGCTAGAATTGCACCCCATTCCTCCATTCCCTACTAACCAAAGGTAAGATGAAGGGGTAGGGATGTAGCTATATCATGAAGGGGTCTATGTAAAGGCTGAACTAGGCCGAGACTGTCCATAGGCTGCAGGATGTCGGGTTTTGGATTGATTTAACTCATACTTGCTTAAAGGGTATACTTGTTTTGAGGGTTGTCCGTTGGGGTGTAGTCTTTCGTCTGTTGATTGGCTCGTTTCTCTCTCCTTTAAGATCGTTGGTGGGGTTTCGGGCGTACCGAAGGATGGAGTTTCAGGTTTGGCGTCTTGGATTTGCGGGCTGGCTATAAGGGTTAGGACTCATGTTCACAGCTTCGTGTTTTGGATCACGCTCCGGAGGCAGAACCGGCGCGCGGGCACGGCAACTAGCCGTATAGCCCCAGTATGGACTTCAATGCCCGCAGAAAGAGTCGGCGCCCTTGGGAAGTGCAGGATGCCTCGACTGAGGGAGCCCAGGTTAGCGACCAGGCGGCCACCTGGCAATCGGCTTCCGGACATTCTGGCTGGCGTGGGACTGAAGGGTGCGATTTCGGGATTTAATGGTTTCTGCTTGTGCGTGTATGCGTGTATGCGTGCATGTGAAACAGCTCGGACGGGACGAAACCAAAAATCTTAAACCCGAAATCTTGAACCGTGGGATTCGATGTTCATGCCCTGTCGGACCAAAGCCTGCGCGTCGCGTAGAAAGATGCGCATGAGGCATCAAACGACACGCATTCAATGGGCAGTTTCGACTACAGAACAATCCACTGGAAAAGTACAAATGTTCTATGTCCGGGTCAACCGGAGTTCCCCTAAACCTCCGAGGTGGGACTCCACCGTGTTCGGAAAGATCGGGGAAATAGTTCGGTGCACCCCTGCTATCCCCAAAGGGGCAGCATGTTGGCACCTCTGTCGAGCCATTCCAGTAGACCTGGAGCGGAAACATCACAGCACAACATCGCCACTAAATCTCGTCAAGCTCTTTGTTCCGTTGAGGAAACTATGCTCTTTGTGGGGTGCTGCTGCTCCGCACAGGCCCGCGGCCCACGAACCCCAAATCCCCAAACTCAAAAACTATGCCAGAAGCTCGGGATCCATTTCCAAGATGCTTCAAGATCCAGGTTCCCTGCCGAATCCTAAACTGAACATTAATTGAAATACAACTTCACACCACGAACCCCTTGCAAAGTACTACTGTGCCCAGAGGCTCCATAGTAAGTAGTTCCTTTTTGGGGTTCATATTTAGAATTTAGAATCCTATAAGGTAACCCCAAAGAGGAACTACTATGGCGCCTCTGGGTATGAGGCTTGTTCGATCCGGACCCCCGGACCTGACCAGGTCTCTGTGCTCTCGAGCTCCTTCCAGGCTGCTGCTTTCCGAGCTCAGGGGCTTTGCCCAAACCCCCTAAAAGTAGGCAAAATTATGGCCCAATACCTGAAAAATGCTATTATTCTACATACTTTTGGGGTCCAGGTACTTCGTTTAGAGGGATGGGGCATGGGTTTACTGTTCAACTTGGCCTGGGATGTGCGTCTGGTGTTGCGGGGTTGGGGTTTAAGAAGTTGGGCCGCGGTTTTGGGGCAAGTTGTTGGTATGGCTAGTTTTGGTAAGCCGCAGTAAGCACGGCTCTTGCACCTTGAAGAGGTTGTGGAGTTTAGGGTTTCGGCGCTCACACTCGGACAAGCCAGGCGAGGCATAAGGTTCGAGGTCTGTCAATGAGTTTAGGGTTGAAGGATGTTGAAGGTATAGGGTCTATAAGCGTCACAGGGCCGTGGGATTCAGACTTTCGGCTTTTGCTTGAGTGTTCTCGGCGTTGGTTTCTAAAGCTTTCGGATTAGGGATCATGGTTCATGGCTTCATTTGGGGCCTTAGGGCCCTGCTGCAATGCACCCCGTCATCACAATAAAACACTAAACATATTGGGGACAGAATACCTTTCCCCCCAAATATGTTTAGTGTAGACCCATAGAGTATACCACCCCTTAGAACCATAATAACATATATTCAGTATTTTCAACATTCTCTTGGGTTTTACATATATGAATACACACAAAAAAATCCTAAGGAGACATGGCCTCGGGCAGTCGTCCGTCGCCCCAGTCGCCCCCGTCAACGGCCACATCGACAGCCATGAGAAGCAGCGGTTCTCTTGGGCCTGCCAGTTTGGGCCAGGATCCCTCCCCAATGGCCCTTTAACAGAGAGCCCAGATGGCTTAAATAGAGAGCCCTTATGGTCCCTAAGAGAGGGTATTAGGGCTTAATAGAGAGCCTGATGGTCCTTAAGAGAGTGGGTATTTAAGGTGTATTAGAGGTGAGTTGGGGGGGTCGGATTGAAGGACTGCAAGGAGTCTGCCGTTCAGGGCTTTGGGTTTGGGGTGTCCGACTGCAAGGGTTGTTTGGAGTAGTCTTGTAAGGGTTTCCAGGGGTTTTAGCAGCAGTCTTTCTACCATACCGATTCTGAGGCTGTGGTCGTATATACTTCTTTAGGGCTTGCAAGCGGTATGCATCGCCCTATGCTGGGTCGTACGGAAGGACCCCAGCCTGCACTCTCGGAGAAGATATCGGCTAGTCGCACCTGTTAGAGTGGTTTGGGCTCCAGGATTTCGCGCGTTCTTGCATTTGGGTTTCAAGGGTTTTTGGCTTTGGAGATTTCGGGAGTTGAGTAAATGCTTACTGTTAGGTGCGATGGCTCCGGCATGGTGTGGGAGCGGTGGGCAAGAAGTTCAAGTATGCTGGCAAAGTTTATATGGTTTTACACTGCATGCAGAAGACTATTGGACAAGAAATGCTTGAGTCGGTCTGAAATAAAGCCCTCTCTTTCCGAACGTGGCCGCATGGCCTCCAAAGGAAGCCGGTCCCCCCTGCTCCCTGTATGGACCTCGGGTTTAGGCCCGGGGTTTCAGTTCGCCTTGCATCGGGAGAAGCAGTGTACTATTGTCCTATACCACTTCAGCACAAGGACCTCTTTTGCGCTCGGAGCCAGGTCAAGTTTGAAACTCAAGGCATCGCCCAGCAGCACGAAACTCCCTCGAAGACCAAGTGGAGCCCAAAAGGCCCCTCAGGAGAATGTCATCGCGTTAAATCCTGAACATCAGGGCTTCTAGAAACATATATATATATATATATGTAGACAAGCAGATGTAACCATATGACATATGCATAACACCTACGTGTAGTCCCCCCTTGTATATATCGCGTTTCGGGTATAGGGGCTCCTTATAGTCTCGGAGGTTGATGCGCCTTTGAAAGCAGGTGTAACTGCGCGCGCACGTATGAGTGCGTCGGCGCACGGCGCGGTCTGTGCTGCTCTGAAAGGGCGAAGAGATCGGGGCAGGGGGCTGAGGGATGGAATGTGAAGATGTGGGTTTATGCGGATGATTCAACCTGTTCATCATGGCTATGGGACCCACAGAATGTGGGTAATGCTAGCTGAAAGCTTCAGATTAGGGATTAGCACTGACACTCAAATCACGCGTCGCTCAGGGTTCAGGTTCCACAGATGGGTGCACCTGCCTCAGGATGGACGGTATTGAGACTCCAGGCCGTGCACGAATGCTCCAGCTCTATGAGCTCGCATTGCTTTATGGCGAAGTGCTTTCGGACTTGAACACCACCGGCCAGCTAGCGCCGGAAACGCCGTGAGAAATCCGAACAAGCACCCAATCAGCGCGCGCAAAGGTCGACAATGTCCCCCAGAGCCAAACCATCCAAAACCAGAACCATTATCAACCCCTAGCCTAACAAGGTACACCATGGTAATACTGCTCCATGCTTCCATGCACGGCCGGGTGTGCATGAATTGTTAAGTTGCCAACGTACACAGGACGCTGCAACACAGAGCAAGGCTACGCATTCTTGGTGGACTCACCGCCGAAACGGGGGCAAACGGCCAGTGTTAAGAAGCAAAAGGCCAAGATCATCATAGAGGGGCCTCAATCACGACCTAGACTAGCTCTGCGGCTTTAAGTCAGGAGTTAACCACATATATAAAGCATTATAAAAACAACATGCCGGGACTTCAGCACTGCAACGTACTAGTTGTGCAGGTTGTTCTGTTAAGTGCACATCTGGCTTCTACATTCTTGTGTCTATCTCCATCCCTTCTTTGCTGAAACTTCCACATGTAAACTGCGAGAGTCGAGCAGCCCACCTGACGCTGTTCGTAAGCGCTTTCTTAGCGAAGTATGGTTGAGGAGATTTGGGGTGTAGGGTTTAGGGTTAAGTTCAGGGTTCAGGGGTTTAAGGTTTGGGCTTATAGGGTATATGGATGCTCTGGGGTACAGGTACAGGTCTTGTACTTACCCCTCGTGGGTACCTCCGAACCGCTACTAAGCTCCTCTCAAAAAGACACTTAGACGGTAAGCGTCAGTTGCCGGACCTCCCCTGGCACCATAAGTATCAAAAACGGACTCCTCCCGAAAATGTCCCTGGGAAATCCCCACCTCCAGATCTGGCCGCCTGCCCTCAGTTTCGGTTGCTCGCCCTCCCTATGCACATCAAGCAGCCAAGCATGGCCGTCGGAGCTTGGGTCGAGGGGAGATAGACTCGCAGACAGAGGTGTAGTGGAGCCAGGTGTCAACAGCGTTTCAGAAAATCATACTTACCGATGCACTGGATCGGGATCGAGGACTCTAGCTTTTGCACTTGTGTCTCGAAGCATCTCCTCCTACTGTCCTACTACCTGATCCCGAACCTTGACTCCCTGACTTCTGCAAACCTGACGCCCCGCAACAGAAAACCAGAAGCCCGGGAGTCCTGGAGAACTCCAACACACCAAACCTCGGGAACGGGAACTCCAGAAAGTTGGAATATGGAATAATGGCAGGATCCCCTATATTTTACCTTAAAGGGATTATGATAATGATATTCCAACTTTCTGGCTTTTACCTTAACCAGATCCCAAAGCCGAAAGTCCTTAGTCCCAGGATCCCGGAACACCACAAATTTTAATCCCAAAATCCCAACGCTTTGAACCCTTAAAGACCCCAGACACCGCGGAAACCCCTGGGCACTGCTCACCCCTGGGTCATCCGCTGCTCCACAGCCGCTTTTGGGCTCCAGAAAGTCGAGGTATACTCAGAAACCCTACCTAAAGCCTCAAAAGTAGGTAAAGTAATGGCCCAATAAACCTATAAAAGGCTGTTATTCTACACTATAACGGCTTTTTGTTGGGTTTCGATTTCAGGGTCCTGAATACTTGAATACAGTATAACATATGGCATCGATATTGGAAGTATTGTGGTTTGTGCAAGTAGCAAATCTCCCTGCATAGGTACTTGGGATTTTGGTGAAGTGCACCCAGGAAAGCAAGACTGGCAGTTCATCTTCGGACGCTGCAGCAAAGTACATAATTACACTTATTTAGGTACATGTCTGGTGCACGGGACTTTTTTGCAGCAGTACGTGTAGGGTTTGCGGGGCTTTTGGGGTCGAACCGAACGAGGGGCCTGTCTGCGACACCTACATTCTCCGAACAAGGCGGCAAGACCAGCCTGAAACCGTTGAGTCGTAGAGTCAAAGGGGAAGGGTTTGCTGGTCCAGAGCATGAGCCCTTCACCCTCATGCTGAAAAAGCTCGACCCCTAAACCGTATCTTACATCTGAATAGATCTTTCATTTATAATACCTTTGCTGGCTCCGAACTCAAATTCTCGAAGGCTCTGATTGGAGATTTCATGGCTTTTACCGTACAGTTTTACAGCTGACCAAGGGGCCCTGGTCGCCCCCCAGTCATCGACCATCTGAAGTCTTCATGTCGCAACTTGCCCCTGGCACTGAAATGCGGAGCCTGAAAAAACAGTTCTCACCTTGAAGCCTGACAGATGGACAGAGGTGCTTTTTGTCCCTCCTAGGGCATTGGGGTTCAGGCTGCTGGACTGCGACCCGCATCCCACAACCCTGGAAACCAGATACCCAAAAAGGTACCTCGATCCAGGCCAAGCTTTGAAGCCAGCTACGAAGGGCGAAATATAATGGCCTATACCCCACATCCAGCCTTATCGTTGGCCTGGTATCTCCCTTCTTGCAACCTGTGACACGAACACTACAATCACTGAGGTCTGCATCTCATGGGTCAAAGCAGTACTCTCCCCAAGATGAGAGATGGGCTTATGCCCAAAGCCCGACCAACAGAATGTTTAGAAAGAATAGAAAGGCTATATGCTTGTGCAAAGCTTCAGGGCATCGTTCAAGCATGTAAACACCAAGCCGATAATGCATCCCGGAAGGTTTAGGGCATTAAAGTGTTGAAGGAATGTGCTGGACCCTTTGCTAAAGATCTTCTGACAGGCTCCTGCAGTGAAAGGCTCCGAAGTGCACAGCGGGGCAGCTGTGTCTACCGCAATGCGCCCATGCAACTCGCTTTTTGTATTGGTTTCGGTTTAGTTTGTAGTTAATATGGAAAGTTCAAGGTGTGCGATATGAGCCCAATGTGCGGAAATTTCGTGTAGCATTTTTACATGATGAACCCTGTGCGAGGTATTAGATGCTGCCTGGTTGTTCGCCGACTTAGGCGTGTGTGTGTATATATATATATATATATATATATATATATATATAGTTATGTATACACATATAATATCGTCAAGAAACCGATAAACCCTAAATGGCAGTCCCGACCCCAACATAATATCAGACTTTACGCCTTGAACTTTTCTCTACTGTAAGAAATCCAGGACTTCTGAATTTGGATTAAGGCCACCCTTTTGCAGCGGGCTGGCCGCCCTGGCTGTTCAGCAAAACCCCTGAACACTCCAAAACCAGATGTTGAGCTTCGGTAGAGTGTCCACTCACGCAGTGGACCAAAAGTGCTGCATCTGAATGTAAGATGACTATATTTCTTCGGGTTCCTTGTTCTACTTGCAGTAGAGTATACCCCAAAACTTTCTTTATACTAGGGACAATATAATTGCTATGTTTGTCTTCATGACCAACAAAAGAAAAAGACATCGCTGCAAGCGGCAAGATATTATTGGTCGAAACAGTGGTACCTGGTACTTGTTGGAGCAGGCGGAGCACAACAAGAATCACACACCACAACTCTGTTGCGTGTAATTTTACCAACCGCCTGCATGAACAAGAACAGTTGAGTATAGTACAATACAGCAACAGTTGTCCTCCCATGGATGAGAACGAAGAGTAGTGGATTCGCAAAATCCGAAGCGGAAAACATAAGAACTAAACTCAGGAAGAGTAGTGGCGATTCTAGAAACTGCCCTGACTCGCTCCGTTGCTTGGGCCCCTCTTGCTTTCAAAAGCTTCAAACCACATGCCAAAGGCGGATGGATGTCTGCCGCGCAGCTCAGAGGGCGACCACAAGGTGCTGGGCGTGCATCACGAATGGGCCATCTGAGCAACGATCTGCTGTCGTTGTTGAGTCCATACCTGTATGCCTTTTGTTCGCAATGCTGGCACTACCTGCACAGCCTCAACGCCAGAAGTACGTACGGTGTTCAACACCAGTTATACGATTTCAACACCGGTGTGGGAGCTTCGGATTGAGCCAAGCAGTCAGAGCACCGTTGGACTGTCTTTTGAATCCATGACTGTTGACCCTTGAAAATGATGTTTCTGTGGG